ATTAATTACTAACCGACTTTATGACAGCCAGGCTTTTGCCACGAATGACAGTCCACTTGATTGAGTTGTATAATCAATAAACATATGATTGCGAAACCAATTCCCGAAAAGCGAAATAATGCCATCGAATACATTGCGATTCTGTCATTCAAATAACATTTATTCATATATTATAATCATTTATAGACTATTTTATAGATTTATATAGAGTTTAATATAAACATTTGCTTAATGATTGATCTTGTTTAATTGTATTTAAATTAAATCAATTAAATGTTAAACGATTTCTTTGTATTCCTTTTATTCTTATGATTCTTGTATTTATTTCAACATTTATTGATAACTTAATTGTATTTGTTTCGCTCTCCAGTATATAAACACAATTAATACACAAAATAAAGTCTAAAACACGAAACAAGTGACATAAGAAAATAAACTTTTATTGTATTTCATTATAAATGTTAAGCTTATTAAAAGATTCTCGACCTAAACACTAGTATAGCATAGTATCCATACAATTACCGACTTTATAAAGAATTTAGTGAATTTTGTAAATATCATATAATCACAAATATGTGGATTTATAGCAGATGTAAAATATTTAAAAATAATTTTATTTTTATATTAAATATAATTCATTAATTACAACATTGTATAACTTATAAAACCCGCGTAAGAATATCAAATTTAGACTAATTATACACTTTATTGAGAAATTTATTCACAATTATAACATAAATAAATTTTAATAAATATCAATTTTTTGATAAAACAAAACAAATTGGTCTATAATTAGAATAAACCTAATTTTTGTTTCCCTATCAAAACCATATGATATGCAATGCATTCATATACTGTAGATATAAGGAGATTGTCTCTTATATTCAAATGAATAAATATAATAATTTATTTTATAAGTATACAGAATAATAGACGTGTAAGATATTGAAGTGTAGGCATTACCTATATCAATATACTTCTACTTATTCTGTTTATTTAAAGTTAAATAAGTAACATAAGTAATAACTTATGTGTGAAGTTAGAGACATGTTTTTAACTTTAAAGAATTCAAACACTTGTGTTATGATAAAAATTGTCAGACATTTAATTAACAATACATTTTACTTGTAATAGAAAATAACATAACAATTAATTTACATTTTCTATAAAAATATTTAGGAGAAGTACTAATTTTGAAGTATAAAAATAGTAGCAATTGTTTTTCATAAAAGCTTTTATGTGATAATAATATAGGAATTGGATATTTATTTAAAAATAGTTTATTTCATTCAATTTTTAAATAATAACGTTTTTCTCGGAAAGATTTTAATAAATTTGAATATTTTAACCAAATGTACATTTTTTTGCTAAATCTTCTTATTTTAGACCTATTTTTATAATAATTTATTCAAAAAATTGTTTTTAAAAACTAATTTTGATAATAAACTAAAATTTTCAATAATTGAATTTTAAAAAACTTTTGCCATAATAACTAATTTTATTCAAAGAGACATTAAATCAAAATATTTGATTAACGTTTTAATAAATTGAGTTACAAATAGACACACAGTTTGCTAGTAATTTAAATGAAGTAAAACAGTTCAACAGCACCTAAATTAGCATTGATTTTATCTTGCGGACATATTATTGACATGACATGACATGGACTGCATATGTTATGCCATTTAAATTCAATATCCTTTGCCTGAGAATGGATCGACTCTTTTAACAAAAACAAAGATCCGTTTTTGAGTTCATAAAAATAGATAAAAAGTTTTCTGTTTCGAGAGGTTTCGTGAGCTAATGGAGTGTTGACTCCGGTTTTGGTTTATAAAAGCCTATATTGTGTACAAAGCAAGTGAACGATGGCATTATTTCGCTTTTCGGGAATTGGTTTCGCAATCATATGTTTATTGATTATACAACTCAATCAAGTGGACTGTCATTCGTGGCAAAAGCCTGGCTGTCATAAAGTCGGTTAGTAATTAATCTTAATACAATCTCAATCAATATACTTTATACTGTGAATAAATGCATTCATTTAATTAAATGTATTTAAAATGAATCAAAAACAAATCAGTCATCCCTGCGCTTAAAAATATTATTTAGTTTTTACAAATTTATAACATATTCATAAGAGTTAAGAAATTTGAGTCACAATTAAAATTAAATACGATAACTAAATACTGAATGCGTGACTCGAGTGTTGGGTTTAGTTGAAGCCTTGTTTTAATCCAGGGCTCAGAAAATGTTATCAAAATTCAGTAGAAATCGTAGCAAAAAAGCACATAAATGTTGTGTCAATCAAACTTCAAGTACTGATATAAGAGACAATTTACGCGAATATTTTTTAGAAAATTTCTCATAAAAAGTGATCTTTAAAAATAGGTTTATAGAGATTTTGATATTAAAATTCTAGTAAAGTAGAGAAAGTTTGCGCAAATATTGTGAGGGATTTACTTCACAACATAAACCAATACATGATTTAAGAGCTGACAATCACTTTATTTAATTTTTGAGTTCACTTCTCAGATCCAATTGAATTAATGTCAAATATAAATTATATAATTGCGAAAAAATGTTGTTTTTGTTTACTATATATTGAAATAGAAAAATAAAAACAAATAGAAACAACTGACACACAGCGATGCTATACGTTAACCACAATTCGGGTGATACTCAAAGAATAGTTTAGCATTTTTCATAGACTCCAGCACTGTCCATAGACTTAGCATTACCCATGTTAGTCCTATGGACTTAAGCTGTAATCCCATAGAAACTTATGTTAAAGCGTCCCATGTTAAACCTATGATAGATTCCCATGTTAAAGTATAGCCATAGGATTAACATGGGATCCCATGTTATTTCCCATGGAGGAGGGGGCAGAACGATCCTATAAAACACATTATTCATACTGAATTGTGGTTAAAAATACAATTTTTATAAAAATATGCTTTAATACAGTATATCCAATATTCCAATGAAATTAAAATCTTATTTAAAATAAAAACTTTTATATAAGTTCTTGAATACTTTACTTAAATTATTAAAAATAAAATATTAGATTTTTTCATTAAAACATTAGAAAATCAAACAAATTTTAAGTATTTGTTGAATCCAATAATGTATTCATTAATATTTGAAAATCATATAAAGTTTATATATGTTCTGATTGTTTGCCTCAATGACAGGACACACACAGAGGATAAGTATTCCGGATTGCGTTGAGTTTGACATAACGACAAACGCCTGTCGAGGATATTGTGTCTCGTTTTCCATCCCATCCAATGAAGCGACACTTAAAGTGAATCCAAACCAATTGATTACATCTGTCAGTCAGTGCTGTAATATTATGGAGACAGAAGATGTAAGTCAACCATTCAATCGTCTCTATTATTATTACACTAGACTTTAATGCTGTATAAAATTCAATCAATTTATAAAAAACAATTACATTTAGCTGTATATACAATGTATCGCTTTCTGATCGCAAAATCCCAGATTATCTCAAACTTTGAAGAACCAAATGTCAGTCTCAATACCACAATACCGGTGGCCTTACCTATAATACTATATAATCCTTAAGTTATAGCCAAAAGCCATAGAGTATTGCAACTCTAAAGGGCAAAGAAGATTCATAACACACTATATTTTTAGTTCACATATTCTTTGTAATATTTCATCACTTTATTCATAGAAAAAAGCTGTAAATATCTAAAGTCATGACAATCTTAACCAATGCCTCCATTTAGTTACTTTACAATTTATTTTTACCACGAATTTAAATCTTGTAAATCCTTTTTTAAATTCAATGGTATAAAGAAGTGCGGCTCAAACGGCACTATGTTTTTAATACAAATACTAATATTTACAATAATATTGTAAATAAGTCTTTCACACAAAAAATCTTTTTAAATTAAAAATAGTATTTTTATCCAAATGTTTATTTTAATAGATTTAATATACTATTTATATATCTTATATAAAAATTATGTCACAAATTATTCAAACATTTATTCATTAGATATTTATAGAAATACAAATGTCATGAAATCATATCTCAATACTACTTAAATAAATATTTTCTTTTTAGTGAAGAAATAAGTGTTTAAAATTTACTTTATATTCATATGATATTCATTGTTGGGTTGAATATAAATAGTGTTTGCTTTCGTGTGAGACATGCATTCATCGATCAGTCGCTTCTTTTAAAGTCCAAAAATGTCTACATATTTAGAAAGAAATCAGTTTTTCTAATAATAAACTCTTTCTTTTGAATCACATTGTTATGAAAGTGGGAGACAGGGATTCATAGTGTTATACACACGGGTATATAGTTTCATAACTAACCGCCCATTTTCTGCATTTGATTTAACGATTAGCCCACGAATCTAATGAGAACTGAATCCTTCTATAAATACACTCTTACTATCGTTTTCCGATAAATTTGTTAAGTATTTCACTGAATTTACGCTCAATACAAACCACACATTAAAAGTTATTAACAGGTCATTAATGTCACAACATTTTCATTTACTAATCAATGGTTGTATTCTTTGTGTGATTTATTCCGTGTCCTATCGTCAGGTTATTATGTCTTAATCTTCTTATTTAAACTATAGCTATATAGTCATTAAATTGATATATTTTGGTCTAAAAATACACAATTTTAAACACTTTTTGTAATTTTTAAGTCTAGAACTTTGAATGTAAAAAAATGTGATAAGAAATTTCAATTTAAAGTCTAAGGAATATAATTAAATTATGTAAATGTTGTACTTCTTTGACTGAAATTATGTCAATATTAATGTCTTTATTTCTAATTATACCACATTTATAGCATTGAAATGTTGTCATAAGTGTGGGAAATATTGACATTACATAGTGTTTGAGTATTTCATAGAGTAAACGGATAATATTCCGAAAATATCTCTCCCTTTGCCCTATCGTTTCATAAGATAGTAGTGATTAATGCAAATAATATATGAATTGAATTTATACAGGATTTATATAATTAAATAAAAAACTTTTATGCTATGTGTAAACTAAACTGAATAAAAATCAATTGTATAACAAATATCTGATTGACTAAATGTATTGAACATTAGGTGAAGGTTCGTGTGATGTGTTTGGAAGGACCGCGAGATCTAGTCTTCAAGTCAGCGAAAAGCTGTTCCTGTTTTCACTGTAAGAAGAATTGAGACAAATGTTAACCAAATTCTGTATTCATTTTACTCACAAAACACAAAAGATCTCGTTTTTGGACAAAAAGCACACCAATTTTTTTCGCTCTCATTATTTAAATTTAATTTAATGTTTCGTTTTTTACATTGAATTTTATTTATAAAATACTATTTTAGTATTAATTTATTGTAATATAAGTTTTAAATTCGATTTTAAATAGCCATATAATGTAGTCATTTATTTATTTATGATAATTATTATTACTATTATTATTATTGCTCATATTATTATATTATTGTTATATTTGTGTTTACATTTGAATAGTTAACAAAATGTAATATAAATATGAATAAAATTATTCGTTATTTTGTAATTTATCTGTGATTTTGTTATTTAAAATTTATATTAAATCAAATTATATAAATAAAACCTATAAACTGAGAATCAATATTTGATATAATACTCGGATACTAAAAGTTCTATAGATATTCTATAAATTTCTAGATATTCTATATTCTATAAATATTCTATAGTAAACAAGGTTCACACAGCGATGCTATACGTTAACCACAATTCGGGAAATGCATCAAAGATTTAAAATTTTTCAATACTTTTGTTAGAATACTTTCACTCTTATTATTTCGAGGAATTTAAATGTTTTTGCCAAAAAATTAGATCATTTAGTATATCTCCATAGAAAAAGCATTATCCCATTGAAATGACATTACTCTCACAGGCTTAGCATTACTCATAGAATTAGCATTGCCATAGACTTAGTACTGCCCATGTTAACCCTATGTAATAGACTTAAGCTGTAATTCAATAGAAACCCATGTTAAAGCTTCCCATGTTCCATGTTAAACCTATGAGAGTCTTCTCATGTTAAAGTATAGCCATAGGATTAACATGGAATCCCATGGGGTGGGAGAGGAAAGGGGCAGGGGGCCGAACGATCCTATAAACCACATTCTTCATAAATGAATTGTGGTTAAAAATCGTTATAAATAAATAAATAAATAATTCAAAAGTAAAAGAAATCATCAATTTTTCAAAACTAATTATCTTTGGTTTGATCATCAAATGGTGAGTAACCGCTATAGTATAGCTATACTGTATAATATTCATGTCTACAGTACTTTAAGTTTGATTTAAATATTAATGAAATATAAATGTAAGAATTTATTAATATTAAAGCACTCGTTAACAGATTATCAATGAAACTAATTCAATTAAATCAAAATATAACCTAAATTGGACAAATAGACTGCTGGCTCTGTACATCTACTGTATGTAAGGCTATGACAGTATTTGTACCTAATATGCACCTGGTCATATTCTATCATAGTAGCTCCCGTACCAAATTACATTGTAGATTTTACTTTACCTTTATATAAGTAGTGATCAAATGACCAAACGATTGATCAAATGTATTCAGATATAACATGTTGAGAACAATCCATATACATGTATATGACTAACATTAGCATTACTTTAACTGATAATTATATAATCAAAAGCTTATAAACTGCACTGACAGTAGAATTTATGTAATTCTGCATAAAATAATTTAAATAACTTGAAATCACTAGCTTTATCAATGAACATTTTAAAAATTAAGTATATACATGGTAGATTACTGTTCTATTTATAGAAAACTACAAACACGTTTTAATTGCTTAATTAAACTCAAATTTATATAGATTAATAATATTAAAAATCAAAGTAACTCATTCTATTAGATTAAAAATAATTTAATTAAATATTTTGGACATAAGTAATATTTAATTAAAATCATATTAAATAAAGTTAGCGCTATAAATATCAATAATTAATATAATACAATGGATTACAACATGTAATGCAAATGTGTAACAAATGCACTCATATTTTACCAAAACATGAATACATACGGTTGTCGTTGAGGGCAACTTAATTTGTGTTGGATTTTAATAATTAACTTATAATACAGTATACACTATATTTGACGCCCGTCTCAGTCACGCCTTTACAGTATTTAATCAAATATTTTAAATTTCATTTACAAATTCATGAATTAATGTTTTAAAATATGACTGTGTAGTCAAATGTGTCAATAATTTTCCAGAATCTTCTTTCATACTGTCTATACTCTATAGTGAAACTAATAATAGAACTTAAAATTTTGTTATACTCTGTATATTCAGTCATACTCTGTATACTCTGTACATAATATTTCTACGAAATATTCTAATAAACTAATGATAACTAAAAATAATTGAATAAAATTATGTTTATTACCCACATCTTTACATCCTTGGGCAACTTGCTAATCATATTATAACATTATTCAGCTAAGCTTTTATATTTTAATGCTACATGATAATTTAACTGAAAAACAGTGCTTTATTATGTTTATAATTTATAAAGCATTACATATTTTAAATCTATTTATAACATTGTTTTCAAACTTAGTTTAAACCACACCTTAAATTGATTGAAACATAACTATTTTTATCGTAAAAAATCTATTCATATTTATTTAATAAACTGTAAACAAACGTTAGGGTTAATTGATTGTAGGATTACAAGGAATTATAGCGGGGGTTGTGTCAGGCGTTCAGAGATCTCTTATATAATGTTTAACCAAAAGACAGCCAATGGTTTGAGAAGTCTATATGATTAGCAAAAAACTGACGTCGAGTTAAGTATAGGATGTATTGGACGAGTCGTTGGACGACGAGATGTGTTGTGTTTTGCGAAAACATACCAAAAGTGTGTTTGACTTCAATTCTGTTAAAAGTTAATTAAATAAAAAAATATTTTCTTCAATAAAATACAATTCTCTTTAAATGTAAATCAATTGAATGACAGAAAAATAAAGAATCTTTTATTTAAAATTTTGTAAATTTCTTAACCTTTGGTTTATTATATAATGATTTCAAAACTCAATACATTACAGTAATGTACACTAGTGTATGTACTTTATAATGGAAAACAAATAACAATTTTCTATTAAAAGATTACTTGAACTCTAATTATATTAACAATTGGTTTGTATACAAGTATTATTGCGGCAACAAATGAAATATTATTTTGTAATTTATTGGATATCAATATATTTTGTTTTTTTCGATTAATGTGCATTTTATATAAGTTTAAGCTTTAATAATAAATAAAATACAATTTTTGTTATATAAATAATTATTTAATGTCATATCTCTATTGCATTATTAGTTATAAATTATTACACAACTGTGTAACAAAGACTGTGTTTTGTATAAATTTAACATTGTAAATATAATGCAGTACTGTAACTCTGGTATATATAGATATATTGGAGTACATTATAGCTAATAAATTGTTTAAATTCTCTAAAAAGTCTAATAATAAATTGTATATTTCAATTGATAAATTTTCTTCGCAACTTATTTATCGCTTTTAAGACAAATTTGCCGTAAACTTAATGATTAATGCCTGAAATCTAATACTAATGTATTTTAAAAGTACTGTTTTGTATTATAAGATAAAAATGTTTTGCTGTAATAAATCATATCATTTTCAACCAATAGTGAAAGTATTAATTGAACGATCAAAAAGTTTTCTATAAGTGTGTAATATTATCTAATACTATCATAATTGTTTTTCTATATAAATTTAATCAATTACCCTGAAATCCATCCATAATTCTTGTATTATAATATCTGCCGAATATTTATCTTAAAAATAGCATAAGTTATGTCTTGTCTTTATGAAGATTACACATGAATTATATAATTTATATATGAACTAAAGAAAAATGTAGAAAACACATATAACCCCAGCATTAATTCACATACAATTGTTACAATTCATGGAAAACGATATAAAGTTACTTTTCTTTTGCGATTTAAGATTATGATGTTTTGCACACAAACAGTGAAACATAAGTAATAAAAGCTAAACAAACTTTAATTTTAATTTCACTTTAAATGTAAATTTTAAAATGATTTAAGTGTGTGGTAATAAAGTTATCTATTATAAGTTATAATAGTTATAATTTATAACTTATAGTTACAATAACCAAGTCTTATTCAATGGTATAGCAATATTATAATAATATTAGGGTGAATAAAATAGCACAATATTCTTATAGTTTACAAACAAAACACTTCATAAGACTGACATTGAAAGTCATAAATTACTCTAAATTATATTATATATAAATTTTACTTTACATTATATTTGCAACGATTCTCTCTATGAAACAAAAACTCAGTTTATATTTAAGAGATAGATATCAATATACGGTATAAATACTAGAAATATATAATAATATTGTTTTGATTAATCGTATGATCAGTGATAGAATCCTTGGGGTCATAAAGAATGTTGAATTTATCAACACTTTTGACACATAGATAGTAATGAACAAAACAGTGTTTTACTTTTTATCCTATTTATCACAAATAGACTTTGCTCTCTCTCTCTCTCTCTCTCTCTCTAATCTTCAAATCCAACTCTCAATTCTTACAGTTATATGTTTTTCTATGAACTTCTTTTTGGAACTTTTTTTTAATTCTATTAATGCAATAATTGTAGTATTTTTGTGATAAATAACATCTAGAATTTGAAGCATTTATTTCACAACAAAACGTAAAGAATTTGGTGTTTTGTTAGGGTTTTTGGAGTTTCATTGGATTTCTGGCATTTATTTCAGTCAAAACGAATACAAATTAAATAAAAACAATAATTGCTACCAAATATTTTGGGGGTCTTATGAAACGAGAAATATTTTTGTTGATTATGTGTTTTGAAGTGAAATATAGTAAATACTTTTTGAGAGAAAGAATTAATACATTAAGTGATAACATAATTGATTGACAAACACTTTATTTCCAATCATGAGATATACTTTGCGGTAAAATAACAAAACAATATATATTTTGAGTTAAATTTAGCAAAAAATATACAAGTGTTAGGAAGTGAACCAAATATAATTCATTACCTCATAGGGTTAGCGCAGGGATGAGTGAGTTTTATTATTTAACTCACTTTATAGTTATTTTATGACTATTACTCCTCTATATAAAGAGGTAAAAATATATTAAATTTAAATTAAATTTACAAAAATAAATTTTTATTTGACAAACATA